GCACCCACAGGCTTGCTGTCCCCTTCTGGCAGCTGTCACGGTTCTGTGCCCCTTCACCAAGGCCCCTGGGGGGAGAGGGGTCGGTGAATGCAGGGACAGCCCCTTGCTTAGCTAAGGAAGTCGAATATTTCCCCACGCTCACCCTGAGACTGTGCAAGGGGAGGTGTAAGGCCTTCAGCCCCTGGCCTGGCTCTGCCTGTGGTTTCTGTGGTGTCTCCAGGCCGCGGCAGAGGGAAGGTGATGGGCTTTGACAGGCTGGGTGAGAACTGTGCTTTCCTCTGTAGCCTGGCATGAGTGCAGAAGCCCAGGGCAGCTCCTGGAGAGGGAGCCCTCTGCATCCCTGACCCCCTCAGAGACTGGCTGATTGTAGCGGTCCCTTCTTCCGAGAGAGGGCCATCCTCTAGCCCAGGGCCTGGGGTCCAGCCCAGAACTGGAGCTGGTGGGGTGGGGACGGGGGCTGCTCAGAGGCGAGCACTGTGGCTGCAGGTACTCAGGGGGTGGTAGCAAGAGAAGGGTGAGTGTGGAGATAGACTGTGCCTGGACGAGGAGTGTGGCCTTGGAGCACACTCCAGGGTCAGCTCTGAGCAGTAGCTCGGCTCAGGCTCTCCTGGCAGCCAGAGCACCTGCCCCAGTGATGAGTGTCCAGAGAGGCTGCGAGGGATCCGTGCAGCCTAGCAGTCACTGAGCACTTGAACCTGAGTTGTTATTAACGTTGCTATACAAAGGAGGGGGCCCAGGCTCAGGGGATTAAGTAAGGTGTCCAGGTCTTGGAGCCAGTCATTGAGAAAGCTGAGATTCTTTATTGTTTTTTAAATTATTAACTAGATTTCTTAATTGAAAAAACAATCCAACCTCTTAGTTTAAAATGCAAATAGTAGAGAACACTTTAGAGTGAAAAGCAAGTCTCCCTCCCACCCCTGACTGCAGTTCTGGAACCCTCTCTCCAGGGTCACCTGGCCAGCATAGCTGGGTATCTGTTCTCTGTCCCTCATGGAGCCTGGTGCCAGGCCTTCCCTAAGTGGATGGCCATCAGTGAATGGAGCTGGAGGGCAGGGAAGGGGTGGAAGGGACTCTGTGTGTGCTCTGAGGCGATTCCCAGAGATTATACTGAGCTTGGATGGCACCAGTAGAATAAGTCCATCGCTTTGCATTTTGAAGGGGACACCGCTTGTTTTCTTATGGACCTTTATTTTACAATATCTTATTTTCCTATTCTCCTTACCCCCCATGCTTCCCCCACCCCTGGGAGTGCTGGGGGGCCCGTCCTGGGCTTCCCTGAGGAATACGTGCACCTAGGGGTAGCTGCCTTCTCACCTGCTCTGGCTAGGACTTAAAAAAAAAAAGACAGGGCCTTGCTTTTTGACAGCAGCGTCTCAGACGCCGAAAAGGCTGATGTGTACGTAGAATGACCATGGAGAGGACAGATGCAGTGAGGTCTCCACTAGGGTGTGATGGAGCTGGGCGGAGGGACGGGAGCTCCATGTCTGACCCAGCAGCTCTTGGATCAGGAGTTGCTTCTCTATGGCTAACATCAGTTAGAGCGCTTTCCTCTAGCTTTGACCTCGGTGGAGCTGGAGATCGTGCACCATTGTCCGTGAGTCTGTAATAACCCATCTCTGGCTTCAGATGGTCACATTCTGATGCATCCCCCCTCCCCCATCACACACCGCTCACCCCCATCCTTCTTTTCACCAGGCTGCATAGCCCAGCTCTTCCCAGATCTCTTTATGGAAGGTTGCAGTGCACACGACCTCATTCCAAGGCAGAGACAAGCTTCTCCGGGACAGCCCCTCTCCTCCCAAACACCCAGACGGATCCTGAGCATGGGAGGGAGGGCTGTGTTTATCTGGAGGTAATTAAAATGCTGTCCTTAAAAGCAGTTTCTCTCCGCGTCTTCCTCCCGTGCTCACTCTCTATTCCTCTGTGGACACTCCTGTGAGGTCTCTCTGCTTTAACTGTGTTACAAACGGCTCCAGCACCGGGGTATTTTACTTCAAAGCCTCGGCTCACGTGGTTTCTGTAAGGAGCTTGCCTCCCTCAGGGCCCAGCCTGGTGGCCTCAGATAAATGCCAGGGACGTTTTTCACCATCTGGAGCCAGTCTTGCCCTTCACTTCTGACTCTCACCTCCTCTTCCCACCTCCCCCAGCTCACTGTGACTGGTGATTAACTCTCCATCTTCTCGCCTCTAACTACCTCCTTTGCCGTGGAAAGAAGAATTGGACACTGTGGCCACCTCACCTTGTCTGTGGAGGATGCTGGCTCCAGGACAAGGTTCACGGGGGTAGTCAGCTTTAGGTGCAGGGCCTTATCTGGGGGCAGAGAGAGAGTGGGGACACCTGCAGAGAGAGGACTGGACGTCAACGCTGCAGATACGTAGAGAAGACACTCTCAGCTTTCCAGCCTCATGGACTCTGTGCCATTTCCAAATCTCCCCCTACCGCACCCCCCCAGAGGCCTCTGGGTCTCCTCCGTGTTCTTCCCTCTGTCTGGGATCTCCTCCTCCCTGCTCACCCCTGCCCCCTTCAAAGGACCTGGACAACTCAAGTCAAACGCTTTGTCCCCGGGGAAGCCTTCCCTTCCCCTGGCGCACAGTCTGCAGTCTCCTGTGTTTTTCCTTCGCCGTCTGTAGTTGTGGCATCCAGCTACCTGGATACAGGATTAACCTCTCCTCCCCAGCCTGTAAGCCCCACGAGGGCAAGGACTATATCCCAGGGCCTGGACACTGCCTGCCACGCAGCAGACAATCAACAGAAATATTTGTTGAATGAATACAGTACAAATCACATAGCTGTGTTAAGGATATTTATATGCTTTGTCAGGTCTAGTGTAAAGGAACAACAAACACCATTTTGCTTAGAGAGCACTTCGCCCATCCGCAAAGTAATTATCCACCCGTTATCTCATGGGTCCTTTAGAGACCCTATAAAGTAGGTGGTGGGAGTGTAATTTCCCATTTTACCAAGAGGAAATGGCAGCCCTGAGAGGATAAGAGACGGGTCCAAGGTCACAGAGCTCTCCACCTTCAATCTCTGCTTTTCGCCCTATGCCAGGCTGAGTCTGAGTGAGGAAGGGCGACTGACTTCTTCCGGGAGAGCTTCTGGGGTGGGGTTGGCTTGGAGCAGCATTTTGGAGGTGAGAGGGCTGTGGATTAATATTAGCGAGAGGCATGGGAGGCCGTCTTGTTGGGAGAAGATGTGGATGCTGTCCAGGGTGCCTGTGGACAAGGGCTGGAAGGAAGCCTTCAGTGGGGGTGGAGAGAGGAAAGAAAGGACATTCACATTTACTAATCGCGTTACACATAAAATCTCTTGCAATAGCTTTTCAAGGGAGGCATCGTCACCCACGGTTTGTAGTTGTGGAAATAAAGCTCTCAGAGGTTAAGTAATCAGCTTGAGGACACATAATGGCAGCTGGGCTTGGAAGCCAGGGATGTCTGCTCTGGCTCCTGGTGAGGGGCCATTGTTTAGAGGTGGACTGAGGGTTTCAGTCTGAAGTCTACACGGCGGGTAGGGGAAAAAGACTGGGCATTCCTCATGTCTGGCTCATCAGTGCCCAAGAATTGGGAACAGCTTCCCTAGTCGTGCATCCTGAGTGCTAGCGGGTCCCTGCAGTTGCTGTGCTCCCTGAATGTCCTCCCCTAAAGTCAGGCCAGGGCTGGGCCAGCCGCTGCTCTTCAGTTTATCCCGGTGAGTCAGGCCTGGGCCAGGTTTCAAGCCGATGCCAAGCCACCTCAGCTAACCTGCCGTATTGTAAGTGATCACAAACTCCTGGAAGCATCTCCTGATGGTAAATCCTAAAAGTTGAGGACAGCTGGGCTGATCCTTTTGCCAAAGGAGACTCTCATTCATTTGTTGTTTGTCCCACTCCCACTGATTTTGCAAAATGTGTGGAGGGGCCCTAGATCCACTCGCATTTCACTGGTCTTCTTCAACATCGTGATGATCATTATAATCACATTTTAAATTTCCTCAAGTACAAACTGTGTGCCAGCTTCTGGGATACATAGAGAAGGCAAATGTAGAGTAGTGGGTAAGAACGGGGTCCTGGAGCCGATGGCCCGGTTCCTCTGCTGACCAGCTGAGTGACCTTAGCAAGCCTAACTCAACCTCTGCATCTTTGGGTTCCATGTCTGCAGGCGGGGAGAATAGGAATCTCTGCCTCACAGTGTTCTTCTGAGGAGCAATGAGTCTGAGATAGTACTTTGCATGTAGTAAATAAACATTCAGTAAATGCTACTTGTTGTCATGAAGTACAATTTCCAGAACTGCGGATTTTGGAGCTTAAAAGAAGCTGAGAGATCATCTAGTCTAATTCTCTCATTTTACAGAATAAGAAACTGAGGCTCAGAGAGATGACTCCCAGAGCTAGTGAACGCTCAGGTCAGGGCCTGCACCCCAGGTCAGGGCCTGCACCCTCGTATCGCACTACTTGTTGCCAGGGAGACAGGAGAGTTACTCATGCTGCCCAAGTGCATCAGGTCACAAAGGTTCCTTCTCCCTCAAGGAGACCACGGGGCGGAGGTGGCCCCACTCCCCTGCCCAAGCCACCCTGCCACCCTGCACACCTCATGCAATCTACTGGCTGCTGCTGGGAGTTTCTTCCAGCTGGGGAAGTCAGAACATCAGAGGAGCCCCACATCCATTTGTCTTGAGGGGCCTGGAGCGTCATTAGGAGTAATCAGGATCTTGTTGCCCACAGCCGAGAGGAAACCTGTAATTAATCTGGCTGCCCCTCTGATTTCCTCTATCCTCCTCGCCACCAAACATTGTCTGGTGGCTGTCAGCCTCCTCTCCGACCCGCCCTGGAAAATCACGATTAATGATGTAATAGCCCTTTGAGGACGAGAGAGAGATCAGCAGAGGGACTCCTGACAAGTCCGGCGAGGAGAGGCCATTTAGCACAACTGGGTTGGGGAGTCCAGGCAGCGTGTTCACCGCCTGATGCGGTGAGCTGTTGGCAGGCGGTGCCCGTCTGTGCGTGTTAACCAGTGCTGGCCAGGAATCAGCAAACTCGATTGAGCTTCTACTCAGGATCGGCACTGCAGCAAGTGTGTCGGGAAGATATGTGCCCGAAAGAGATGTTCCCCTGCCTCCATGAGCTTACAGTCTGGTTAAAGAGAGAGGGCACAAACAAATGCCGAGTTAAATAACCACTTATTCATGCATTGATTCATTCACGCCTTCCACAATGTGTATTCCTAGCTGCCTTGCCCCCAGGCACTGTCCTAGGTGCTGGAAGTGAGCAGTGAAGAAGGCCCTGCCCTGGTGGAGCTTGCATTCAAAATACAGGCGTGAGAGAGAGGGTCAGAGATGTTTAGAGACCTTAGAGCATCTTCTGGCTTGAGGAAGCTGTCCAGTCTTGAGATTCTGAAAAAATGGAAGTTAGGTTCCCCTTCTGGACGAAGTGGGGACATCTGATTTTTGGCCTTTGGGTGAGAAAACATCCTGGGCAGGTCAGTGGTAAAGCAGAGGAGAGACCTCTGAAGCCTTGACTTCCAGGCCAGTGGTCCACAGCACCTCTTTGAAGCACTCACAGGGCTGTGTGATCGGATGCTGCCTGCTGCTGTAGACCGTGAGGGTGGGAGGTTCATGGGAGAACAGCTCATTCCGGGGGTAGAAATTGGACCTGGATTGTTAGTTCCTGTGGGCAAGATCTCTGAATGTAACTCACGAGTATATACTTCCTGCTGACAGAGCCTTTCCCACATATGTGATCTGATTGGATTATTTCATTATTTCGACAGATATTTTTTGAGTGCCTACTATGTGCCAGCCTGTGCTAGGCACTGGGGACACTGGTGGAAAATTCCGACGTGTTCCCTGCTCTCCTGTGTGCATCACCTTGTGAGGTAGGCGTTATATTCCCACGTTCCTGATGAGGTGTGGCTGCTCCAGAGCATTCCCTTAATAAGGTCGCCAGCCAGGTCCACCCTGGCTTCCCTCCAGGTTGGGCCTGAACACTGCACTCATTATGATCCTCATGGCTGCGTAGGGTGTTAAGAACAGCATCCTCAATTGCGTGGTAAATTTCTCTTTTGAAATTCTCTGCCTTCTGAGTTTTCCAAAGTACAAGATTGAGGCCCAGCTCTGTTTTGGCGGGGACGGTCAGAGACCCTTGGAAATCAGAAGCCATACTTGTATATCCGCTTTGGACTTCAATTCTGCCAGTGCCTCCACATTCAACTCTAGTTGAAGATGGTGCGTGGGATCTGTGGTTGCGTATGATTAGACTCTCTTGAATTTGACCCCCAGCACTGCTGCTTGAGTTGCGTGACCTTGAATAAGTTACTGAGCCTCTCTGAGCCCCAGCTTCCACAGCTGTGAAATGGCAATGCAGTATTATAGGCTTAGTGTAATGGTCATGAATAGTTAATATTTGTCCAGGGCTTACTTCGAGCAGCACAGGACAAGCATCTTATCATTACTCCTGTTAACAATTCTGTGAGGGTACTTTTGTCATCCCCATATTATAAAGGAAGAAGTCAAGGTTTAGAGAAGTTGCCCAAGGTGTACAGCTAGTAAACGTCAGTGCAGGACTCAAACCCATGTTCTTAGCTGTGACCATCAGCCCCAGCCCCAAGCCCAGAAGAAAAGGGCAGTAAGTGTTTTCTTGCCTCTGTTCTCAACATATATTGCTGTGATCACCCTTTGCTGGATCTACGGCATTATGTCTGGTTGGGTTGTTTGTTTTAACCACAGTGAATATGCAAAACACACAAGCCAAACTGGGAATTTATTTCATATTGGTATAAACTCATAAAATGCCTCTTTGACATCATCCATTCATTTGTTCATTCAGTCAGTATTCATAGACAACCTACTATGTGTCAAATAGTGTGCTAGGTGCTTGCCACAGTGGCTGCCATCACAGCTGACGGTTCTGTGGGGCCACAGACAGCATCATCGTAAGCAGGAGGTGTGCCCTAATGGAGAATGTTCCAGGTGTGGTGGTGGCATAGGGAAAGGATAGTAGAAAGCCTTAGAGGGGAGGCAATGCAGTGAGCCTGGAAAAGACAGCTTCCTCGGGACGAGACTGCGCTCCACATGCATGCAGAGGGTGGCGTGCTGGGGGAGGTCGGCAGGTGAGCTCTGCTGGGGTGTCAGATGTGGTGGGTGGGTGGTAGGGACAGGTGAGCAGGAGCCAGGTCATGAAGGGCTCATCTGTTGGAGTGGAGAGTTTGTCCTTGACCCCGATGCTATGGAGAGCTGCGAGAGACTTTGGGGCTGGGGTGTGTCATTATCTAGTTTGCATTTTAGGAAGAGCCTCTGGCCGCTGAGTGGAGAATCAAGTGCAGAGGCAAAGACCAGAGGGAGGGAGACCAAGAAGGCTGCTGTTGCAGAGGCCTGGGGAATTGCTGACAGACAGCTGCATTGAGGAGTGTCAGTGGCAACAGAGACGGTTATGGTGTTTAGGAGGCAGAGCTAGCATGATGTGAGGACTGCTTAGATGTGAGGGTGCAGGGAAGGAGGAATCTAGGGTGACTCTCAGCTTCCTGGCTTGGGTGACTAGTGGATTGTGGTGCCACCTACTAAGAGGGAGAATGTAGGAGGAGAAGCAGATGGTAGGAGCGTGGAGAGCATGCCTCCTCTTTAGGATGAAGTGTGTCTGAATGCTGTGTGACATCCAGGTGGATGGAGATCTCAGGAGGCAGCTGTAGAAGAGGGAGTGTTGTACCCTGGAGATGCTGATCTGGAAGCCACACCTCGCAGGTGGTAGTAAACCGTGGGTGGAGGTGAAACTCCCCAGAGAGGGATCATGTTAGTAGGAAGGGGGTCTTGGTGCTATGTCTACAGGAGAATTTCTTTTTTATCCCTAAATTACTAAAATATTTTAGTTAATGGTGGCTTCACTGTTAGGGCGTAAGAACAGATTCATCTAAACATTAAAATGAAAATAATACCTCAAATTTCTTTGTGTTTTTTGATAAAGAATCTGAAAGCTTCATCTTTCTGCTCTCATATGCAGTTAGGCTATACAAGAACAGCGGGTGGAGTCAGAGACCTGGTTAGCCCTGGCTTTGCCTCGTAACAGCTGTGTGACCTTGAGCTATGCCCTTCATCTTTCTTGAGCTCAGCTTCCTCATCAGTAATAGAAATTGTTCTGTGGATTAAATAAGATAAAGACTGTGGAAAGAATCTCACAAACCATTGAGCCTTACAAACATTTACCATGATGGTTCTTTTTAGTCCTGTAAGGTTTGGGAGGAGATTATTTCTCATCGTCATGCCCAGGGTCACACAGCTGAGGCCCACGAGCAGCCCAGGACCTCAGCCATTGGTGTCCTTACATGTGGTCTCCAGGATCAGCCAGACTTTGGGGCCATGAATGACGAAAGTCAGGCCTGCACGAACTGAGTGTAGTTCTGTCATCAAACAAAATTTACACAGGCTAATCTGACACCTATTTAGCCGTCTGCATAATAATTATCACGCAGTGTGCTGATCGGGCATAAATGGGAGGCATTTGACATGAATGATTATATTTAGCATTACTTTTATATAACCTAACCAGATTTTTACAGTTCTTTCCTCTTTGACAGTTCATTCATTTATACGCTCAACAAATATTTATTGAGGCTATAATATATGCCAGGCATTGTTCTGGACCCTGAGGAGACAGACAGACAAGATTTCTGCCTCCTGCCCCACCTCTGTTGAGCTTGCATTCCAGTGGGGGACAGACAATCAATGAATAATCGACTTTTCCATCACAAGTAAGAATGTCAAGCTTCCCTAGAGACTGTGTTGGCTGTCATCTGTCCTCTCCCAGCACCCGTGAATTCAAGGACAAGGCTTCTGGGCCTGATTTGCCAACAGCAGAGTTGTCTTCACCCCAATCCTTTACCTTGTATTTTCCTCTGACCCCCTGGAGCAGGCGATGACTTGAGGCCTTCCATTCATTGAACAAATATATATTGTGCACCTGTTGTGTGTAAGCAGATGCTGGGGACATGACAGTAAACTGGAATCAGTCCTGGCCCCTAAGAAGCCACACTGGTCCCAGGAGTAGACACATAAATGAGCAGCAACAGAGGGGAAAGTGCTGCTGTTGGAGCCACTGGCGGCTGCTGTGATGGCGCGTGGAGAGGTGCCTGGTTCTGATGCATGGCAGGGGTGGGGGAAAGGAGCATACTTCAGGCAGAGGGGGCACAGCGTGCAGGGAAGCTGCAAGGTGCTGGGTGTGGCCAGGACATTGAGGGTGTGTAGGGAGTAGGGGCATGTCATTGGATAAAACTTCTACTGGAGTGTAACACACAGGCAGAAAAGTGAAGATAATCTTAAGTATTCAGCTCAGGGAGTTTTCACAAATGGAATACACTTGTGTTATCAGCACCCAGAGTAAGAAACAGGACATCGCCAGCACCCCCAGAACACCCTGCATGTCCCCTTCCAGTCACTACCCACCCCCAGGGGTAACCACTAACTGGACATCTAAGAGCACAGAATAGTTTTGTCTGTTTTTATACTTACGTAGGTAGAGTCATACTGTCCCTACTCTTTTCGCCTGGTTTCTTTCACTCTTCATTAAGTCTGTGAGATTCATCCATTCAGCTGTGTGTAGTTGTTGACTGTTCATTTTCATTTTCATATGACATTCCATTGTGTGAATATGCACTGTACTTTTCCATTCTGCTGTTGGACATCTGGGTGGTTTCCAGTCTAGGGAAATCCAAAGACTGCTGCTCTGAACATTCTGGTACGTCTTTGGTGAGCACGTGCATGCATTTCTATGGGAGATATGCCCATTGTGGAGTTGCTGGATCATTAGCATATGTATAAATCTCTAGGAGACTAGTTTTCAAAACAGTTATACCCATTTACACTGCTACTGACCCTGTACGAGAGTTCCAGTTGCTCCACCTCTTTGCCAACACTTGATATTGTCTCTCTCTCTCTTTCTTTTAATCATTCTGAGTATAGTGGTATCTTATTGTGGTTTAAAATTGCATTTTCCTCATGCCCAATGAAGCTGAGCACCTTTTCAGATGTTTATAGCCTTTGGATATCATCGTTAGTAAAGTGTCTATTCTGATCTTTTGCCCATTTTTCTATTGGATCTGTCTAGGGAGGGAGGAGGAATCATTTTAATACTTCTCTCCTAACCAAGGGTGACCCCAGATTAGCATATGCAGGTGCTCACCAGCCTCACTTACCCCAGTGATGGGGTGGAGCTGGCAGCCTACAGACTCTTGTCTCAGGGTGTCAGAGAGGTCTCAGGGAGGGGACAACACCCGTGCTGCCTTAGGGGGAGGCAGCATCCTAGAAGGTTCTGGCTTTGACACCAGGGGCCCACCCCAGGAGGGAGAGGGGCTGATGGAGGAAGGATGGGGAGGGGGCTGTTTTCAGCCGGCGGCAGGAGCAGATGTGGAAACCAGCTGAGGACCTGGGATGTGAGCTTCTGCCCTCAGTGTTTGCTGGGAATAGACTTCTCCCATCTGGGCCAGGGAGGAACTTACATTTGGCCTTTAGGCCAGGCCCTGAGCATGGCAGCTTCTATGTCATCTTAGTCCTCAGTTCAACTCCACCCGGCAGGTGGTGTTATGCCAGGTTTACCTGCAAGGAAACTGAGCTGAGTGACTAAGAGAAGCCTTGATGAAGGCCCCCCAAGCTGGCACGTGGCCGAGCTGGACTCGAACCCAGCCCCTTCCTCACTCCACTCCCCAGGGAGTAGTGCATGCCATGTGTCTGGGGCAATGGCATAATCTTCCCATTTCTTCCTCTTCTGCTTACCCATGGCTCCTGCTCCTTAAGAGCAGATGAAGGTTTTCATTCCCAATTAGAAATTTTTAAAAAGTGGAACCCCATGAATCATTCGATCACAGTTACACCAGCCTGCCCCCGTTTGATGAGGGGGATGGAGTTAGAACCTGAGCCTGAACACAGGGAGGAAGGACAGAGGCCTCGAGTCAGCCTGGAACTCTCCCATGGGCACTGCGAGCAGCACTGTGGAGGGATTGCTGGCCCTCCCCATAGAGGCTTTCTGGGTAGTGGCTCGGTCACTGGGCTGGATGGGTGGCTACTGAGCAGGGGCATAGGACTCATGTGCTCCCACCACTCTCTCACAGAGTTATGTCATGCCCAGACCAGCAGAGGGCTCCATGAGGATTTATAGAAGATGCCCCGCGTCTCGGCGCCTTTGGTGCTGCTTCCTGCGTGGCTCGTGATGGTGGCCTGCAGCCCACACTCCCTGAGGATCGGTAAGTGCTGCTTGTACAGCATCCTGGAGGCAGCCCAGCTCTCTGGATACCCTAGATGTCCACAGGGGACATATGCCCTCCCTGACTTCGGCTGGGCCAGGGCTGGTGGGGGGAGGGGTGGCAGCTGACAGGCTCAGAGCTCTGATCTGGTCAACCTGCCAGCTCCCCTTGTGATGAGAGTAAAGATGCTGATAAGTCCCTGTTGCAGTTGTGGCTGACTCAGCCTAGGACATTAAGGGCCAGCTGTTAGGTGAAGAAAGAGGGTGGAAGTGGATCTTGGTGACCCTGGCCTGGCTACTTGGCGGGCTGTTGACGGGGGGTCTGCTTGCCCTGGCCTGGTCTGGAGAGGGAGGGTGGGGTCACTTCAGTGACATGTGTTCTGACTGCTCTATCCCTTGTCCTTGTTGCTGTGGGGGTACTTGCTCCAGGTGTGGGCAAACAATGCTGCCACCTGCCCTGTCAGCACCCCCATGCCAGGAGGGAGGCTTGGCTCCACCCGGGGTCCAGGGCTTCCTGGGAAATCAAGTGCCTCTTCCCCCCAAGACTGAGCGAGGCTCATTAGCTACAGGCTGAGGCCCTGCTGATCTGGGTCCTAGGGACACAGCCCCAGCCGCAGGAACAAGGTAACAGTCTAGCCCAGCAGACTCCGTGTGGTGGCCCAGGACAGACGTGTGGCGTTGGGGATCAGGGGTGTCTTCGTATGTATGGAGGAAGGGGGTCAGTGTGGATAGATGGGTGGGGCACAGCAGTGAGAAATCCAGGCGGTGGGTTGTTGGTCACAAGAAGGCCTGTCCAACAGCAGGACCCCCAGGGCAAGGCTAGGCAATAGCCCCAGAGGGACTCAAACAGCAGCAGGTTATCCAGACAGGTACCCAGCTGAGGCCCCTCTTCCCAGACTAGGGTGGGGAGGGGGGAAAGTGAATTCTATGAACAAGGCAGGAGCCTAGGTCCTAAGCTGAACCTGAAATGGTTAGAGACTGGATTAGAAGGAAGATGTCATGATGCCGAGTCCCAGGGAATTGGCTTAAAGCTCCCCATTCCCTCCACTTGCCACCAGGATGGATCCTAAGGTCCTAGAGGCTGGCACGCTGGTGGTGGTCAGGAGGCCAGGATGGGCTGAGACTAGCCAGAAACTGAGACCCTGGCTAGGTCAGGCGTCACAGGCCGGAGGCCGAGCTGCAGGTGTCAAGCCCTGTTGTTACCTCGGGGGCACGGTTCTCCCTGCATATGCAGCGGTGGCTGATTGGAATAGAAACTCAGAAAGGTGACTCAGTTCTCTCCCTAGCGCTGCCCTGGGCTCACCACTCTGCATGCTTAAAAAACAGCTGCATTAAAAACAAGATGTTCCCTCCCTCTTCCCCATTCATGCCTACTGAAACTTCAAAACCTAATTCAATTCTGCTTAGCAGCAATACAAAACGGTTCATATCCTTAAGATGCTTAATTTATAAGATGCCTACAGTTATTCACCATTCGCCTCGAGGTTTTCTGCCCCTCTGAATGAGTGGATAAAGCAGTAACCCATCAATTCCCATTTGTGGCTAATGGGAAGCGGAAATGGATCGAGCCAGAATCGGCAGTGCCTCATGGCCTCGGCTCTCCTGACACTTGTTCTCCGGGAGGGAAGCAGAAAGTGGAGCTGACAGATCTCTCTCTTGGCTGCTACACTGACAACAGAGGGCTTCAAAGGGACCCCTCATGCTCCCGTGCCCACTCTTGGAGCATTGGTTGTCCAGTTCTGTCAAGACTCTGCTGGTCCTCAGTTTTGGTTCATGCCAGGCCACTTCCAGCCGATTTCCAGCCAGGCGCCCTGCTGGCTGGCAAGGTCAAACGGGGCCTCATCTCCTGCAGATCGCGCAAAGCAGAGTTAAGCCAACAAAGAGAAAGAAAAGAAGTGAAGAATGAAAACAGCAATGCTGGGACCTGTTTTCCTGTCTCCTTGCTTATCCTGGGAGCCAGGACCTTTCTAAAAGTCTCCTGATCCTTCTGGATGGAAAGGTGCTGATTACGTGGGCTCCAGAGAGGACCTGGAGTAGGGCAGGGGTGGGAAGAGAACTAGGTCACCGAAACTCAGGGAGCTGCACTGAGCAGCAGGCAACGTGGCACACAGATGGGTTGTACTGCCGTTGATGGGGCTGGGGTCTCCAGAGTCCTCCAGGGGCTCCCGGGAAAAGGAGGGGCCGCTCCTCCTCCCCCCTTCCCAGGGGCTCCTTCCCCCTGAATTTGCTTTTTTCTGGGATTTCTCCCAACTCCCAAGCCTCAGAATAGATGGCTGTGAGAGTGAGGCTGCATGAAGGGACCAGGGATCTCAGAGATAAATTACTCCTCCCACTCCATCCTCAGCCCTACTTGTTCGTTGGTGACAATATGGATGTTTGTAAAGAGGCGGCCGAACCCATTACCCTGCCTTGGGACTGCTGTTTTTCATTCAATGGAAGCGCAGGGCGGGAGATACGGCCAAACTGTCTATTACAGTGTCTGGTGCTTACCCCCAGAATGAGGTTTTGGGTAAGAGAAAAGGATGTTATTTATGACTGTGAGGCTGCCCGCATAAATTCCCCAAACTCTCACACATATGTCAGCCCCCTTCAGTCATCTGTCTTCTGGAAATGTCTTTTGATTTTGCTTCTGTCCCTCTGGGTCCTCTGAGTGATGACTGTGGGAGCTGCAAGTTAATAAATGCTCTCAGAAGACCCCACCCCGTCTCTACAGCCGGCCATTACTTAAAGGGATCATCGTAAGGTCTTAGAGCCATAAAGGAGTCTAAGGATCCCGTTTTCCACCCTGCTCCTCTCACAGATGAGGAAGGACGCCCGAAGAGGGCAGTGATTTGGCCAATGTCACATAGCAAGTAGGTGGCCGTGCTGGTGGCAGTCAGCACTAGAGCCCAGATCCTTGACTCCTGTTGCAGTGCTCTCCTTGCTGCCCACCAACGGGCTCCCTTAGCCACTGGGGAAGCAGACTCACCTTCAACAGTATGTGGGGGTCATGGTCTCTTGTAGTTTTCTCCCATCCTGTTTCTGATACTAGCAAACGTTACCCTTGCCCCGAACACATTAAAAACTGAAGAAGTATTTACCAGCTGAATGAATGCTAGGCTTTCCAGCCTGCCTCCCGTTACTCCTTCCCTGGCTGCTTCTTTCTGCCCCACTGAATTCCTCACTGTCCCAAATATACCAGGAGGTTTCCTCCAAGCTGTAGTCATCCCCTCCTCCTCCGCTGGCGTAGTTGGCTTAAACAGCTCTTCCTCTGAGAAGTCCTTTCCCACCATCACCCCGTCCTCATAGGGAGAAATCCTCTTTTTCTTACCTTTCTCCCATTGCCTTGCTGCTTACACCTGTTCCAGCACTTCCCAGGCTGTGCTCTAATTATTACGGCGTTTTCTGACCAGACTCTGAATTCCATGGGAGAGCAGCCAGCTCCCCCAGGGCCCTTCCTCAAGCATGTCGCTCAAACCTAGTGAGTGTAATGGGTGGATGAATCCGTGGCCTTCGCAAGACCTGATTCCCCAGGAGCATATTTGGTATCATCGTTTTAAAGTTCTTTCTTCTGGTCATACGTCTGCTTACAGAAGGAGACTTATTGGAGGAGGTGGAAGGGAAAGGAGAAAGAGGAGAAGGAGGAAATGTCCATCTATCTGTCTTACTTAAAAGGGAGAACAGGAATGGGCTGAAGATCCTGACTGGGTTCTAATGGTAAATCACTGATTCCATTATTCATTCATTAATTCATTCAACAGGTGTTTACTGAGTGCTATTTATGAGGCTGGAGAGTTTAAATAACTCCTCTGAGGCCACATAGATACTGAAATTCAAACCTGTCTGTCTCCAAAGCTGCCTCTTCCTGCTTTGCTCTGCTCAGCTAGTGGACCCCTGGAGACATTTGGGCTATCCCATTATCACGGCAGTCATATTAAATATATTGTGTTCTGTCTGGTAAAGGAATTGAAAGATGGAATCATTATTGCTTATATAGTCTCTTACTTTTCTTTGATTCCTTTACCTCCAAATAATTTCCTAAGGGCACAGACGAAGCCCATCTGACAGGTGAGGAAACTGAGGCCTGGGGATTTGAGAGGCTTACTCCTGGTGGTACAGAAGTCCTGATCAGTGTGGGTGGCACTAGACAGATCAGCAGGTTACTGCAGAAATTGAATCTCTTTTTTGTTTAAGGTTTCCCCGTGTGGTGAAGCAGCAAGAGCATGGATTTATTTGACACGCTGCCTTGCGAGGACCCCCAAGCACTTTACAGCTACCATTTTTTGACTTAGTTGGTTTCCCCCAATGAGCCGCAAGTCCTGTGGAGAGAATCTTCAACATAGAACATTCAAATGGGATAAAGATGAAGATAATAAGAGAATTAGGGGAGGCACAAGGGGAGAATAAAAACCACTGGTTTCTTACCCTGTTCTGCTGCGTATTAAATATATCTGACACACTGAGATCCAAATACACCAACTAAATTCTGTGCCCTGTGGAGGATTCACCATGGGGGTTCTGAGTGGTGGCTCCACTTCATAATGTTACATGATGTGCTTTATGAAATCTTGATGGGCATGTAAGTTTTCATCTCTTTTCCAAATTGAGACACCTGTATAAGCCATCAATTGGTCTCTCACATTAGCGACAAATAGAAATTGATGGCTTTCTCCTTCATCTGTCACCCAGAGAGGGAGTATAGAAAGATTTCTGGGAGACACATCTCTCCTCTGGTGAACACCTGAGGGAGTCTCTCTTTCTTATTCTGTCTGTCTTCCTGGGTCTAGCACAGTGCCTGGCCCATAGTCCTGCTTAGTAAATGTTTGCTAGGTGAATTCTCTAATAGCAAGTTTTGAACCTTGAGATAACCTGTTAGTTTTCAAATTTCTCTTCCCCCAGATATTGATCGGTGCTCAAAAATGCCAACCAATTTTATTTAATAAGTGTAGAAAATATGTGATTTGGAGAGTAAATATTTTGCCAGGAAAAAAAAGTCCGAGTGTGTGTCTGCTCAAGGCTGTCTCTCGTCTCCTCCCTGCCCACCTCCCCCAGCTCACCTCCGGCATGTCTTTAGGGAGAATGAGGGAGGCTCAGCTGCAGGCGGACAGGCCTCCAGGCCACTGTGCTGTGTGGAGTCGCTCAGTCCACGATGTCGTCATCCGTCTTCACCTGTGGCTTGGTCTTCTTCCAGGAGCACCACGCAGCATGCTTTCAAGACATTTATCTTCTCTCTCAACTTTTCTCAGAACCTATTTGTGATCTACAGTCTTAGGCTGTAGTCTCTTCTGCTGAGAAGTGAGGGATGAATTAGGCCTAGATGCTCCATTTTACGGATAAGAAAAACTGGGGTCCCAGTAAGGCAAAATGAACTGGTAAAGGTCCCTCTGGCAGTGCCAGGATTCCTGACTCCCAACTGCCTGGTGACATTTGTGGCGTGGTTTGCACTTGTTCTTACACACGTGTTCATTCAATTTCCCCAACAGCCTGTGGGGCTGGTAGAAGTAAGCACACCTTAGGGAGAAGAGCCTGAGGTTCACAGAGTTTGTGACCTGCCCGAGCTCATACGGAAGGGAGTGGTAGCCTCAAAGGGCGGAGAGGAGAGAGCATCTCCCAGGCGGGGGCCAAGGAGTCAACCGAGTATCAGAAGACAGTGTGGTGACAGAGTCCTGAAGAGCCTGTTGACGGTATGTTATTGATGGGTGAGGACTAAAAGCCACCAGTGTGTAATGCCCAGGACCTTATGAAATCAGGCCAAGCTAGAGAACACACAAGTAATGGCAACAAATGTTGTGTTTTCTTAAATGTGCCATGATTGATCTCTGGGAGGAAACTGGGAAAAGTTCCAGTGGCAGGGGTATCTAAGTGAAGGGATGGGGCTGTTGCCCCGAAACTCAAGTCCTCGATAATAGAGCAGATTTCCAAATGAGTTCGGTATGTGGCTGCCTGTGTTCATTGGTGCTGCCACGGCCTGGTTCCCCGGGGCTCTCGTTTTGCCCCACCGCACATGTGATGGCCTGGCGGTATCTGCTGCCCTGCTCGATGGAGCCCTGCCTGGCAGAGATACATGTGGTGTCGGGACAACAGTCATGGAGAGATTTTTGTCAGAATTTCAAAAACCTGTCTCCAGCTCCGTGTTTACAGAAGTCTTGGGAGGAGAATGAGTCATTAGCAAGCTCTTTTTTTTTTGGTGGTGCAGGGTGGGGTGGGGGGAAGTGGAAATTATGGAGAGAGACTTTGGTTTGGTGTAAAAAAAACATTTACCAGACAGATGGAATGGGCTGTTTTGGATACTGAGGTCCCCACAGCTGGAGGTGACCACAGATAGGTTGGACAGGGATTTCAGCATCAAGTGGGTGTTGGACTATTACTTCTAAGACCCCTTTCAACCTGGGATTCTGTGATAGACTATTTTAGCCTTTGATCTGTTCTCATACTCTCATAGGGAGACATTCTGTTGTTACTGTGTCCTCATTAACAACCATTTATAAGAGCTTAGAATTGAGGCACCCTCCTGCCTAATTTAAGCCATGACCCCATTTGGCTCCAATTGCTTGGATAAGTCAGATAAGACCTGAAGCCCTAGTGAGTCTTTTTGCCTTGTTGGCGTAGACCTATCCGGGTGTTTCTTTTCTCCCTGTGGCCACTGATGGAGGAGTCAGAGAAGTGCGGGCAATGATGGGAGCTGCTGCCACGTCTCAGCCGAGTGCCTGAGTGTGTGTGAGCCTGAGTGGGTGGGACGCACACGTGTGCATCGGCAGAGCCCGCACATCCCACTCACAGCCTCGCAGCTCAGCTGCAGGCAAGACAGCGGTCACAGTGAGCGCTCATTAGTCTGGATGAGCAGCCACACGTTCCATATCGGGTGGACGGGGGCTGGGCCTTGGCTGCTGGGAGCCCTGGGCGGCAGGAGGCTGCAGACAGCTGTCGGGCCGCCCAGCAGCTTCTCTGTGTCTTGTTGGTGTGTGTTTCTTCCTATCAAGCTGAGTTATGGGCCCATCAGCTTGTGGTGGCCCGGGTGGGCGAGGCCTATTAATCCCATACCGATGAGGAGTGTTGTGGAGAGAGAAGAGAGCCCAGACCAGTCAGGGCTCAGCATGTGCATGGATGGCATGTGCAGTCCCCTGGTCGGGCAGACAGTGCCACTGTGCCAGACATGGGGGGCACTGCAGCCCTGACTGGGGCTCCATGGTCTTGAGGCTTTCTGCTAGCATGCCCCCCTTCAAAGCAGAGATTCCCTGTCCTGAACCTTTCTCCCAGGGCTACACGTTAGCCACAGCCCTCTCAGCTCCTCTCACTCCCTGTGTCCCTTCTGAGGAAACCAACATAATTGGGGGTAAGTGGCCATCTGGGACAGCCCACCAGAGGGTGCCTCATGTGTCTCCCTCTTCTCTCAGTCCTTCTGCCCTGACTCATCCAGTGTCTTACATGGTTATTCGAAGTTGATGGGGGTCTGGAGAGGAAGGGAAAAATGAGCCAGAAGTGTTATAAGTAGCACTGGGGTTAGCTTCAGAAGGTTCCAGCAGAGTGTAGAGGTTGACACCAGAGCACAGGCTCTGACCAGACTGCCTGGGTTTGGATCTGAGCTCCGCCCTTTACTAGTTGTATGACCTTGGGCAAGAACTTAACTTCTTAGAGCTTGAATTTCTTCATCTATCACATGAGATCAGAGTTGTCCCTACCTCACATTTTTGTGAGAATTCAGTAAGTTGCTACATGGAAAGCACTAGGACAGCATCAGGCAGGTAGTGAATGCTATGGGAGTGATGTCTGTTAAGAATAGCACCCTTGGGCTGCCCTGTCTCCTTCTCGAAGCCTGCCCCTGCCTGGAGCACTCTTCCACCAAATGCTGTCTCTCCCCATCTCCTAAATCCTGCTTTAAATTCACCTCTTTTTAGGAGCTGAGAATCCCCACCTGGTTTGGAAAGCTCTTACTTCCAGAATTCTCAGCGTGCAGGAGGCGTGCATGCTCACAGTCACGCACGCGTTGCACTGTCTTCATTGGTACATGACCACCTGGTTTTCGCAAATATTTAAAAATCCTTATTTGAATTCCATCTGCCCCACAAGCCTAAGAGCATCCTGAGAGATTGAACTTTGTCTTCCCTACCTTCACAGTGTTGTGGGCTTTTCACAGTGGGGTAATGGTCCCGGGTCCTGGTAATGGTCTGAATGATCTCCCATCTTAAAAACCTGCCTTAGCCCCGCATCCCTCTTCAGCTAATCTCCTATTTCTCTCCTTCCCTTTACAGTGAAACTCTGCAAAAGAGCTGCCTATTCAAGCTGTCTCCATTTCCTCTCCTGTCTTCCCCTATCAGTAGGACTCCCTCCCATCAGAATTTCACCCCCACTCCTGATGCCCACATTGCTAAATCCAGTCCTCTGTCCCCAGGCCTCATTTTACTGGCAGCGTTTGACATAGTCTTTCACTCCCCCTTCCTTGACACACTTCTCTCTTTTGGCTTCTGGGTCAACTCCTTCGCTACCTCACTGGCTTCTTCCTCTCAATCTCCTTTGCTGATTCCTTCTCAGCAATCCGACCTCTGAATATGGATGTGCCCTGGAGTTCTGTCCTTAGACCTCTTCTCTCTCCACACCTGCTCCTTGGTGACCTCATCAGTCTCATGGCTTTATATGCTTATGTCTCTCTCATCTTCTCCCAGCTCTGACCTCTCCCCATGACTCCAGACTCATATACGCCTACCCGTCACCCCCACGTGGACATCTAAGAGGAACGAAAACTCTACATGTCCACAGTCAAGCTGGTGATGCCCCTCCACCCCGAGCCTGCTTCTATCCCGTCTCCCCCATTTCGTGCATGGTAATGCCATTCGATCTCTTTGGACTTAGGCCCCAACCCTGGGAGTCGTGCTTGATCTGTCTTTTCTGACACCCCGCGTCCTCTCCATCAGCAAATCCTGTTTGCTCTTCCTTCCAAGTGTATCCAGAACCCCACCACTTCCTACCACCTCAGCCGTTGTTTTCCTGTTCCAAGTTGGTATTATGTCTCACCCTGATACCTGCAAAGCTTTCCTAGTAGTTTCTCTGCTTCTCTCTTGTCCTCTCACTTTGATTCTCAAAATGGCAGCAAGAATGATTCTTTTAAAATGTAAGTTGGGTCGTGTCAGTCCTCTGCTCAACCCTCCCAATGCCTTCTCATTTCCTCTCACGTCAGAGCGAAGGGGGGTCCTGACAGTGTCCCACAGGGCCCTCTGGGAGCTGCCCCAGCATCCTGTTACTTTTCCTTCTCATCTCTCACCACTCTGCCGCTTACTCACCCCGCAGCAGCCCCAGCCCCACTAGCTTCTTGCTTTTCCTCCTCAGGCCTTTGTACTTGCTGTTCTCTCTGCCTAGAGCACTCTTCACCTAGACACCTGCATAGTTCGCTCTTTCACGTCCTGCAGGTCGTGCCCTGCCCAGCAACTCT